GATTTGCTTTGAATTGAATGGACTTTGATGGAAAAGGGTCCTTTAACCACGTTCTACCCACACACGTCAATTTAATTTTGAAGCATCCCAGAGCCATATTGCAGTCTCACAAGCCACATACGCATCGTTTGACACCCCTATTTTTGCAAAGCAACCTGTTTCTGTCACAGACATCTGAATTGCTAGATTCAACCCATATTAAGCAGCATTGGAAAAATTAATTTACTTAGTCTACAGCTGTATTTTTTTAGTTCCCAAGCACAGAAAGAAGATTTTCAAAGAAATAATTCATCTTCATTATGTAACCTTCGTAGCTCCTCCCTAGCAGTAAAACCCCTGACCCTGGGACCATAAGATGCACAATTTTGTAAGAGGCAGCCATATTCAAGTTAACAATGCAGTTGGGTAGGTTTATTTATTCCAAGGAGCAGAAAAGAAGAAATTCAAAGAAATAATGCTTTTTCAGTATATAATCTATGTAGCCCCGACTTAGCAATAGAACCCTTAACCTTGGGTCCATGAATTTCACAGTTTTGGTAGAAGTATCTATGCTAATAACAATCACAACAACAGTTTAATTGCCTAATGTCCAGGAATAAAGAACAAGATTTTTGATATTGCACCTATTTTAGTGGTTTGACCCCAACAGTCAGGCCCTAGAGGGGCGGTGACAAAGAAGTTCATTATATTTGTTCCGTTTCATCCAAAGATGCTACATGTACATGCCAAAATTGGTCCATCGGTTTCAGAGAAGAAGATGAAAATATTCAAATGTTAATTAACTCACAACGAACGACGATTTTACTCAGGTGACTTAAAAATGCGACTAAAACATTTCTGTGAAAAATAAATGTTACTCATAGACCAAGACAGACAAGCATTGTGTATATGTGTAAATAATACTTGACTAAAATATTGTGTTGAATACTAAAGGTTATTGCATTCCTATGCTATGAATGAATGCAGATAACTGTTGTGAATGTGTTACCATCAATAATGTTTAATTCATTATCAATTTTATTGTGATTTTCTGATATTAAGTGTTAGAATATTCTTATTGTATTTCATCTCATAAGTGTGATTGTTTATGTGTCCGTTTTTTTCAGTTGTGAGTTTATAGTGTATTTTTAGTCCCTTTCCGTTTTTATCCGTTTATCTTAAGTGAAATTTTAGAAAAAGGAATTAAGTTTTTAAGATCAAGTTGAATTGATAGAGATGAAGATCATTGAAATAAAATACTGTGGTTTCATTTAGTTTGATGAGCACCAATTTTCAAGGATTTCGTTGTTAAGCAGATCCACGAATTTAAATGTTCATTGAAATAAGAAATCTGTTATTCAGTTGTATACACAATGCTTTTGTCCACGAAATTACGCCCGTTTTAGAAAATCCACGAAAATTAATGCCAACAAAAATTAATGAAACCACAGAAGTTTAAATAGAGATTTCAGTTATTTGTATTTACAGAAGGTGAAAGGTAAAGTAAGGAGAACAGATTTTATATAAGAATTATAAGATTATGATATATTTAGGTAAAAGAATCAGAGAATAGAGCCAGGTCTTCTGTTTCAGTGTTTGTTGCCGTGAAAGTAAATCGGTATAAATATGTCTGTAATATTAGAAAAGTAGCATATGGAGTTAAAGATATAGATCACGTGACAGCTTTGCATTTATTTGATATACATGTATGTGCACATTTCCAATGTGGCATTTTTTAATTGCTTTTCTTTTGTATTGCTGTATTTATGTGCTTGTTTAATAAATGTGAAACCAGAAAAACAGAGTGCTATATTCAGGAGAGGATAATAGACAGTCGCCACAATGACACTGACTTATACCAGCAAGTTTCGTTTTTGCCGATTTCCAGACTTGTTGTAGATCTTGTTACTTCTAGTTTACTTTTTTGTTTAAAATCAAATTATATACTATGATATGGATTTTTTGGCGTGCTTTTAAATATGGTGAAAGTTAAGACCCTGGACATCTTGATCTATTTGTGGGCGCTTTAGTGACTTTTAACTGAGATTTCCATAGATGTATTACCCGAACGTGGAGTACAAATTTCTTCATAAGTGTCGTTCATAAGTGTATACTACAAGAGGCACTTGATCACGACGTCACCACGTGACGTCTATTATAAGAAAAAATACCTTATGGAAAAATTGAAAAGTTCAACACTACTCCGGGAATAATTAATTTCAATTTGTAGTCATAGTTATGTAAAAATGTACCATGAAAAGTGCTGCTAGAATCCTACTGTCCTATCACAGAAATAATTATTCAACACTTTCGGAGGAAACCTTCCCAAAATTTTTACATTTTGTTTATAACATCGAAAAAAATGCATCAATTCCCGTTAATCCTACGATTCTAGCCGCACTTTCAAGAAGCAATAGAATAATAACTTTAGATAGAATCAAAAATTAAGTTTCAAAGTATGCGGCGTAGTGTTGAACTTTTACATCTTTTTCGCTACTAAAGACAGAGGAGAGACTGATCGGCAAGTAAACACCCTTTCTTCTTTTATTTTACGTAGGAACTGTACAGTTATATTAGCATACCTTATCAATAAGCTTTATTCCCACATGAATCACACATGATATTCATTCTAAATGCTTTTAAACTCCAATTTCTTGTGTTTGTTTACATGAATTCTCATTATGTTTCACTTTCACTCTGCTACTGCATGAACAACAGTTAATGACGTCACGGGTGTAGTATTTAACCCCTGTGATAAATACAAAGACCCAGAAAGGACAAAATTCTGTTAATATTATGCCTCTGCATATTTTGAACCAATTTACGACCTCAAATCAATCTTAAATATTGATTTTAAGAAATTGTTATCTCGAAAACTTCACGTCATATAGCTTACTATGACGTCATATCATATAGGTAAGTAGAATGTTTGGTTGTAACCTTAACATACCTGAGTTTGTTTACCAAAAGATGGGAGACTTACCTGAGAAGCGACTGATGTCTTGCCCACCATTTACTTATGTTGGCGTTGACTGCTTCGGACCGTGGAATTTTGTCACCCGACGTACTCATGGTGGTTCTGTGAATTCCAAAAGATTGGCAGTGTTTATATTTATCATGTCGGGGTGTTCACATAGAAGTAATCGACGAAATGAGCACTTCTTCCTTTATCAACGCCTTGCGTCGCTTCACATCAATCAGAGGCAAAGTGAAAGATATTTATTCGGACAGAAAGACCAGTTTCATAAGTGGAACCAGAGATCTTGGAATAAATACTATTTTCGTGGAGGACCTCTCAGTGAAATCATTCAACAAGGAGCAATTTGGAAGTTCAACACACCTTTTTTTCTCATATGAGAGGCGTTTGGGAGTGCGTTTTTGGTGCTATCAGACGGATCATTGATTCCATTCTACTAGATGCCAAGCACACCAAACTTACTCATGAAGTCATATGCACATTTATGTCAGTGACAACAGCAATAGTCATTGCACGACCATTGGTGCCAGTATCTACAGACCCATAATGTAAACCTATAGGGTTTAACACAGATATATTGTATGAACATTTTAAACTTAGACAATATTAATATCATAATCATTTTTAGTTATTAGCAGTGAAGGTAAAATGATATAAAAGTTTATTAAATCAGAATGTATATTATTAGTGACGCAAATTCGGTGACTTTATAATTGGAAAGAGGACTTTATTTTGTAAACAATTATTATCTTGTCAAAACAAATTGGATTTTGTTGTTGTTCAAATGCACTATAATTTGGTAGATCATTTTGTAAGGAAATTGATCCGAATAGACCAATCAAGCCCATCGATAGTAAGGAATAAAATTTGAACGGAAATACAATGGTATCATTAAGAGTTTTGACTAAGAGCAATAAAATTGGGAACTTTGAAGTAAATAAGTAAAAGAGCTTAAGGCTAGAACTCCTGTGGTGCAGAGATGGGGACTGAGCCCATAAATATTAGTAATGAGTGTTTACCTGTATTCGAGGGTGGTGCCATGTTGGGGTTCATAGGTCAACGGACAGACCTACGGACAAAGCGTAGGTGGTTAGTGATGGTGAATTATCCAATGAAATACATTTTTATATCTGGGACCATGGATACCCATTGAGCACAAAATACCCTGTTTTAGTCAGAAAAGAGTATTCCCGGTTTTATTCTCAAACTATTACACTTCTTTGACATTTTTATTATTCTGGGAATCATTATTTCGGACTTTTGATAAAGGATGAGGTGCTTGCGGCCCCCGGTAAATTGACAAAAATTAAATGTCGAAATTGTACTGAAATTTTTGTATATAACTAATCACTGATATGTGTATCTTTATAAAATACAATTTTTAACAAAGATAGAAACGTGATTTAAAAGATATAGATCTTTTATTGGGGTAGGGGTATCATGTTTACATCCAATTCCCATTGCATTTTAACCCCGCCCCTCTCTTTGAAGCCCTTAAAATATACGATCGCAGGTAGGTACAATTTTCTCCTTTGACTGTTCACTGTATTTTATTGAAATCTACCTATATGTGAAAGGAGAAAATTGTACCTAACTGCGCTCACATGTTATTTTTTAAAAAATTGTAAAATCTAGCTGGCCTTTCCCATTATGAACAGATCGACGGAACTGGATTTTCTGACGTAAGAATAAATTCATATGCTAATCGAGTCACTGGCGATTCTTTCTAACTGACCAATCAGCTAATGAAATTCGTTACGAGTGAGTAGTACAAAAATACTATGGAAACATGCTTGGAATTTTACTGCTTTCCGATTATATTTTTTATGCGCTTGAGTCACAGATGAGACACGGATCTTCATATGTACAATTTCCGAGATCACAGTAAAATCTATATACAGTTACAAACAATTGATAAATATACATTAGTTTAAAATTTTGTAGCGTGTTTGGTGGGCAATTCGCTAAGTCAACACGTATTTCCGAGTATCAGTGGCACCCCTACTAATGTGTTCGGATGATATTCTTTATCGCTGTTAAGTGTAGCGTAACATCCGAGTGGTCAATTTGACCTCTAACGAGACCAGCCTCGAGACCGTGCGAGATCAGCACCAGTTCCTGTAAGATTTAGACAGGAAGTAGATGTGTGTTTTGGGATTTATGCATTTAATGTAAGTAAAGCTCATTGTATTTGCCTTCATTCAATTGAACTTTTTTTGCACATAGAATTTGATTCAATTAGTCCTTATTTCTCGAATTTTATCACCTCAAACACATGAAACGAGAAACATTAAATCAGGTGCATCTAGAGTTATCGTCCTTTGTTTACATGCCTCCACGTGGGTGGAAAAATAAAAATCTTTTGGTGTTTTAAAAATATATAGGGCTTGTCAATGTTTTTGAATTAATATACTAAATTATTTATGTTGTTCTTGGTGTTGTGAAATATTTACCCCAGTATTAAAAGAAGTGAAAATGATTCAATGTGCAGAAAATGTTATAGTCTGTTTTACTTCTGATAATAATTGCAGATACACAATTTCTCAGTAACTTACATGCAATATACATCATTACATGTAATAAACGTGTGAAGAAGTGCTTAATTAAATGAATATAGTATGAATGTGACATTCAAAAGATTAGAAATGGTAAATGACAACGTAAACAACCCTCAAGTGATCAGCTGGTGATTATTATACAGGCGTGGATCTAGAAATTTTTTAAGGGCGAGGGGGGGGGGGGGTGAAGAAGGAAAGAGTTTATATACATTGTAACTTACGTTTTACATAAACATGTAGATGTAATTAAATAACTCAGTAGGATACAGGGTGGAGTGTGGTTTTTAAAAATGGTAGGATGATCAATCTATAGATTACCTTAATTTTTTTTGAAAAAGTGAAAAATAAATCTTTGAACCTGTAAATTCTACCATGTAAAGAAGTAGGGTTTCATTTTGTTATCACAACCAAATTTCTTTATATATTACAACATTAGCCTTTCAATGAACATTTTCTATAGTAAGAACAAAATACACTGTAGAAATTTGGGTATTTCTTTCTCTCTCTTATTTTGCAAATCAAAAGGGCGGAGGGAGTGCAGCGGGAGCCAGTCCAACTGCCCCTTAATAAAAACGTCCCGGTCAAAGTGTCCCCTAATTTTAGTCAAAGCATCCCCGGATTTTAGTCAAAGCGCCCCCTTACATTATTTTTATAGAAAAAATACCGCCACCAAATATAACTTGAAAATCATCTAAATTTCCTTGATCACAATATTAGATGACATACAGACACTTAAACTGTAAAGTACTAAGTACTGAACACATGAATGGTACTAGTAAGTAATTTGATTGATTCATTATCATGCCAGGAGTGATAAAAGTATTTCAAAAAGTCTGTCAAATTCTTATAAACATAATTATCTCAAACTCATGATGGTGTGTGTCAGTGTCCTTTATGCAAAGAAATATTATTGCTTTGATAAATTCTCTTATATTTTTATAATATTTTAGATGTTAATGACGAAAATGATTGATCGAATAAAATATCTCTCACAGACATGATGCAAAAGGCTAATTTATCTTCATCTTAAACATAGGATATGGAGATAACGAACAGTATTCAATATCAAAGTCAGATAAAACAATACAAAATAGGAGCAGAGTAAACACGGACCTGCTAAACATCAGAGGTTGGATCAGGTGCCGTGGAGGAGTGAGCATCCCCTGTAGACCGGTCACACCCGCCCTATGCTCCTTGTCATGATAACGGAAAAAATCGGTCGTCAATTCAATGTATAAATAATGGGTTTACAATTCGTATGAAAAACATCAGTCAGCATTTACATATTGTAAATCAATTGTAAATCAATATGATTTACAATACGTGTATGTTAATCAACTTTCAATTGCTTTTCTTGGCTGTACAGCATTTTAAGTCACATAGTCATGATATAATATGATAATAAGGACTTTCAAGTAGGCATAATTATGCTTCAGGCATAATTTTAGTTTTTAGGTGTCATTTATTTTTCCAGGGGTAGCTTCATTGCATTTTTTCGCCTCAAATCCATGCATGACGCAGTGGTTAGAGTGTCTGCTCTAGAGTCGCGAAGGAAGAAGTCAATCCTTACATCACATGTTCGAATCCCACTATGGGACTTGGAGACGGTCCTTCAGATGAGACTGTATAAACTGAGTTTCTTTAATCATGTTAATTGTCACAGTAGGTGCTGGCACAAAAAAGATCCCTCAACAATTAGATAACCTGATTTTGACACAGAATTGACTCTGATTTTACTTTGTCAGTGTACGTCGAGTGTACAACAATGAAAACTATACGCATCATATCTAAAACTTTTTTGTGTGTGTTTTAGAGGGAGATAGTGTCAATACCCCCACCTCCCCACATGAATCTGTGTACCTGTTTTATAATTTTTGTGATAAATAAATGTATGTGCTTGTAGTTATCATCATGAACATTTAATAAATAGAGGAAAAATAATCTTTTGCAAAGCACTGAATAGCACAATATTAGGCCAACTGATTACTAATTTAACATGTTCAAATCCTGTTCAAATACACATACAATTTAATTTTGCAAAATTTGTTTTGTAAACTTTGCTTAAATTGGGTATTAAAAGTTATTTTATAGCAATATACTGGATGGACAAGTTCACTTAGAGACAAATTATTAAGATTTAACCTTTGATAATGATGAATAACATCTACATCAAATAATTTTACTTTTGGCATCTTACATGTGACTTTTCTTATGCAAATTTATATACAAGCTAGCTGTTTGTCTAGTAATTTAAATGATATTTTTATGCTAGTTCACACGTTTGATAAAAGTCAAAATTTAGTAATTAAATGAAAAGTTCCTACAGAATTCTAAAATTTGAGGTATAAATTGAGTCTGTTAATGATCCTTTACAATGATAGTGTAGCTTGGTAATTAAAGGTGTATTGAGAAATAATTTTTAGGTAAACTCAGTAATATATATATTTAAAACTGCATTCAGTTCAATGAAAAATGAAGAAAATCATGCAGGTGTAAGTGTTTGAGTTTTCCTCTCTGTCTCAGACCAAGAAATAAATTGAACATGTTGAACCGTATGTCTCTCAGAAAACTTATTTTTCATTTTCTTCTTTAATCTGCTTTAAAATGATATTAAACTGAATAAATTAATGTATCATCATGATTATGGTTACTTTTGACATGATTGATTTCAAATTTTTCCATGAAAATTCTTCATTTTCTGCATAAAGAAGAGGGAAAAGTAAGTTTAATTTGATCTTGATAGAACTAGCTAGCAACAAAAGGACAGTAATTACTAGATCTTGATCACTATAAGATATTATTTAAATGGTTTTATTTTTTTATGCAATATTGTACAACTTTTGCCTTCATATTGATTAACTTTTAACACTGAGCCTTAACTTTCAGGTCTCTACAGGAATGTTATTTCACATCAATATTCTGGTGCTTATGCCAGTCGCCCATCATACCCTTAATATTGAAAGACAGTAGTGGTACAGAGATTTGGACAATCTATCATCTACAGGATGATGTCTGAGAATCAACGAAATCTGTTCAAGAACATCAAGAAACTGTCCACTGAGACATAAAAACATGTTCAGTGGCAATTTCAAAATACACACAAAGCAGGATTTGTCAAAAGTGTAATTCCTTAGGGCCAGAGGCTCAAGGGAGTTTCTGATTAAAATTTGTCTATTGTATATTGGTGTACTTATTGTGAGTATTGTTGCCCTTGTTGTCATCTTTGTATATAAACTTTCACATTCTTCACTGGGCCACTTTCAACCAACTTGGCACAAAGTATTCTTGAACAAGGGAATAAAGGTTATAAGAAAATGTTTAAAGAAAATGCAATGCCTCCTTCCTAAGGATAGTCCAGACATGAATGCTGTCTTGACATGTAAACATGTAGCATAAAATTATCATGTATATAGATTTAATTGTTATCATTGCCTTGGAGGATAGGGTACAAAGCCTCAAAAGGTAGGGCGACAAAAGAGGTAAAGATTTTAGCTCACCTGGGAAAAAAACCCAAGTGAGATTCTCTTATCACCTGTTATCTGGCCTAGAAAAACTGAAATTTATGTGGAAGCATCCGTGGGTAGTGTACCCATACCGAAATAAAGTACAAAAAAGAATACTTTTATTGTACTTTTTTAGTATTAAATTTGTGCTTTTTAGGAAAAGGTCAGAAAAAGTATACTTTTTTGTACTTGGCTAGAGAGCCTCTGAAAGCTGATGTACTTTTTTTGTACTTTATTTGAACTTAGTTTTTCTCCACAGTACTTTTTTTGTACTTTATAGAACTTAGTTTTTTTCCACTGTACTTTTTTTGTACCTTATTTGGACTTAGTTTTTTCTCAATGTACTAAAATTGTACTTTTCTTGGACTTAAACTTTTTTGGCAGAATCAGAAAAATAAGGATGTACTTTTTATGTACCTAATTTGGACTTAAACTTTTTTGGCAGAATCAGAAAAATAAGGATGTACTTTTTATGTACCTAATTTCGACTTAGTTTTTTTCCCACTGTGTTCAAATTAATTTTGAAATTTTATAACAATTTTTATGAAATAAGTTAGCAATGTGTTCATATAAAAATAATTATTAAATTTTTCTAATGATTTATGAAAGTTTTATTCTAATGTGAGCATTAAGAATTCAACTATGGTGTTAGCATAAGAGTATGTATAATATATGGCTATTTAATTTACTTTAAAAACTACGTATTTTTTGCAGGGAAAAGAGCTAGGGGGTGTTTTATACAGTTACAGTCAAATGTATTTGTATTTCTGTCATACTGTGTCCATTTTATCTTTAACAGAATTATGTCCTAAACTCATTATAATCATCAAGATTTAGTAAACCTGATGGAAATTACATCGTAAATCTGTACAGAAATAACTCTCTCTCTCTCTCTCTCTCTCTCTCTCTCTCTCTCTCTCTCTCTCTCTCTCTCTCTCTTTCTCTCTGGCTGTGGAAATATTAAATTATTTAAAGGTAAAATTTCTGGAAAGGGAGTTATGTATATTAACATGAACAACTATTCCGTTTACATTCTACATCTCTCTCTCTTTCTTTCTCTCTCTCTCTGCAAACGATGTTTATTTCAAATGACACAGGTGGTTGTACTCGGTGACCTTTGTTGTCTAGACGGTGCAGTGGAAACGTACACATAAATTCACAAGAAGTTTCTGGGAAAACGAAATCACACGCAATAATTTTGACTATGTGGTAAACAAAATGGATTAAAACCGAGTATTGAGAAATATAGGTTAAATAAATAAGGGTAAAATAAAGTTGATATTTAGTTGATAATAAAGTGTCATCTAAGTGCAATTCTAATAAACGGAAATAGCAAGGAACGAATATAAATACAAAAGCCTCCAAGATGCACCATGCTTATTGTTTTATTATCACGAAGAACTTTCATCATGTTTACAGGTATAAACAATGCACGAAATATAAGTAGCACGTGCAAACGTCTATGCTGCCTGCATACAAGATATTACGACATTGAGATTGAAGACTGTAAATTTTATAAGGATTTGTGCAGTTAACAAGGAATTCAAAATTTCTTGTGGCTTTATAAATTGAACTCGATAATTTATTGAAAACAAAAAAAACAAACAAACAAAATGGCGGCGACGATTATTACACAATATGGCGGTCACAATTATGGTAAAGCTAGATATCGAGTACTGCACAAAAAACGGTTTCAAAATAAATTTAATGATTTTAAAAACATTATTAAGAGAATTTCTGATGTTTTTATGAACTAATTCTGTATTTATTTATTTTTTTTTTAATCACGTGACTCTTTCAAAGTCAACGATTGGTCAACAACGAAGCGCGGATTTTTCCGGGGACGATTTGAAAATTGGTGTGATTGAAATGCTGAGGCCAAAAATGGGGATTTTGAAGTCGGTAAGGCTATATTTATGTTTAAAATTTGGATAATGTTTGTAGGAAATGTATTTCACCACTATAGAAATGTATTTAACGAAGAATTTCCATATAGATTTTACATAATGTGGGCATTTGTGTTTTCGATTTCTGGTTTGTTTTGATCGGTATGACAATGTAAAATTACATTTGAATTAACTGAATGGAACATGCTTTTTCTTAGGCTCTGTGAAACATGAATCATTTAATAACTTGTCTTATTTAATTCCTAAAATGTTTCAATATGATATTTATGCAGTAAGATTATAATACAATCAGCACTGCTCAGTATTTGGAAACGTTCACTAGGCTACGTACAAACATTTTTGTAGCCTAGCTATAAGTCTTGGCATAATTAAAAAAAAAACACTGAGTCTACTGAATTTTGTAAAATAAATAAATGGATGTTTGTTAAAAGGCAAAATGTATATAGTGTGTGTGAGGGTTGATATTGAAAAGGGGGGGGGGGGGTAAGTCAATACAAATAAATTAAATTATAGTACTGGGGGATTAAACATGATAAACAGGCAATATTAGTATCAGCATTTACATGCATCTGATGAATTTTAAGTTGCACTTGTTAGTTATCATTTAAGATGTACTGATCATCTTTCAAGGCTGAAAAGAACTTAAAATGGGGTGGGGGTTGCTTCAATGGATACTTTTTTTTATTCTAAACATGTAAATTGCAAGTTACATAACTGTAAACATGAAGAATATAGACAGGTTTTTTTTCAAAGAAACTTAAGAATTTAATTTTAGAGTAATCTTAGTCTTTCAACAGACATGTTCAAGTTATCTGATTTTTCTTCTATAATTTTCAGAAGTGCCTTTTATGCTGTGACTTAAATGCAGAGGTATGGGAAAATAACTCAACAATATAACTGTATCATATCACCAGTAAGTATATTAAAATTTAATTTAAATATAGTCTGACTTTGTAAAATAAAAAAAATTTAAAAATCATATCAAACCGGTATTAATACCGGTATGATGCATGTACTATGTGAGTCTGCCATGTATTAGCTTATGAATTATAGTTCTGCTTTTTGAGAACTTTGATGTTTAATTTAGAACTGAAAAAAAAATGATTATTAAACTCTTTTTGCAGAACTCAAGGAAAAGTGCTTAGACATGTTGAAGGGTGAAACGAAATAGCATATTCAAATGAAGATCACAAAGAGAAAGATTGGGTGAATAGACTTAGGAGTGTAGGCGATCTGTGAGTGTGATCAATCAGTGACAAATCCATGTACAGGACAAGCCTGCAGGATGCAATTTCAGTTTGGGGGGTTGGGAACACCCCTACCTCGAGATTCCAACCATGTAGTGACTAGACGCAAAAGGATTAAAAACTGTTAATCTATAAAATTATATATATAATCTTGTTAATGATTTTATATTCCAATTTATTCTCTAATTATTTATGGAAGATTTAAAGAAATGAAAATAATGAATTATTTAATGGAGATATGTCAAATTGTCAAAATTTCATGCTTTTGAATTACAATTCTGTAATTTAAAAAGAGATTTAATTTTTTTTTTTTTTTTTTTTTTTGGTAAATTAGATCTTAATGCATTTTATTGTACTTTTTGAAGAATCAATGTAAAAGAAGTACTTTCTAAATACTTTTCCTGCATACATTTTTGTACCTTTTCGTACACATTTTGTACTTTTTCGCATACATTTTTGTACTTTTTTTCTGGAAGTATACTTTTCTTGTACTTTTTCTGGAAGAATACTTTTTTTGTACTTTTTCTAGAAGTATACTTTTTTTGTACTTTTTCAAGAAGAATACTTTTTTTGTACTTTTTCTAGAACTATACTTTTTTTGTACTATTTCAAGAAGAATACTTTTTTTTACCTTTTCTCGAAGAATACTTTTTTTGTACTTTTTCTCGAAGAATACTTTTTTTGTACTTTTTCTAGAAGTATACTTTTTTTGTACTTTTTCTCGAAGAATACTTTTTCTCGAAGAATACTTTTTTTGTACTTTTTCTCGAAGTATACTTTTTTGTACTTTAATTTGTTTAATAGTTTTAAAAAAGTACTTTTTTTGTACTTCCAATTATACTTTTTATGTACCTTGGTCAAAAATAGAAATGTACCAAAAGTATACTTTTGTTATCCTTCTTCTGTGACTGAGAACACAAGTTCTCAAAAAGCACAAAAAAGTATACTTTTTTGACTCAATTTGGAACGACCAAATCTCTGGTTCCAAATTGAGTCGAAAAAAAGTATACTTTTTTTAACCTTTTTTTGTACTTTTTTTCTGTACTTAATTTGTACTTAATTTCGGTATGGGTAGATTTTAAATTTTCCAAACTATGACCCATGTGGTAGGGTTGGGTCACAATATGTATTACAGTGGAGGAATTTGATAAAAAACAGCATGGTCAAAGCTACTCAGGTGAGCGATGTGGCCCATGGGCCTCTTGTTTAATACAGTTAAGTGTACACATGTATATTGAGGATATTCAATGTTTTGTAGTTGAAAATGTAAATTATTTCATGTGTGGGACAGGATATTTTGTCTCATGAGTGAAATAAATTCCATAAACATTGAATTTGCTGTTTATTACATTTTCTTTGATTTTCCCTTTGTCTACGTCTTTTTTGTAATGTAGTCATACGCTACATGACATCATAGTTGAGCGGTCGAGACGTCAGCTTAAAGTGAAAAACATTGTAAACATAAATTTCAGCAATTAGCATATTTGAGGAATGTTCGCAGTCTTTATCTCTGTCAGAATGGTTTATTAACTTGTTCTCCATCTTATAACAGGCCAAGGAATATTTTTTACAACATTCCTTGTAATGAGAAGGAAAATTGAGAGTTTTCTCGCACTTCTGGTATTTGTTACACTGTGAAAGGATATCATTTTGATAACCTTTCACACTGTGAAAGAATATCATTTTATTTAATGAATAAATTACAGTATTTCACTGTTTAAAATGTAAAATGTAATAAACTGGTGTATCTAATGTACATCTCAAAATTCTCAAAACACAAATGAAATTTTTAGCTGTACGTCCTTTCTGTAACTTCATGGCTTTTTAATTCAGACAAATACAAAATTCAGTACTGAAGACAATATTCATTGATAAATTTCAAACACATGACCTTCTTTAAACTTCCTTGACATCAAAGATTGGAAATTAACATTACAATACACACTATTTCAAATGCCTCAATATCTGACTCTATTTATAGGTGTTTTTGACAAAGAAGCTGGTTTAAAACCTTTGTGGAGGTGGATATTGAAACTTCTTAAAACTCTTGAAGGATGAGGAAAAGGAACCATTGAAATGGAACATGTTGGACAGGGTTATCAAGGTAGTATTGTTGATTTTGAATATGCATGCAAAAATTTGGTATGATATTGCATATTATACTGAACCGCAAAAGAAACGTCGCATTTTTTAAAGAAATATTTGATAATATGAAATATTGTTTTTAAATATTATAATCTGTGCAAAATATGCATGAACACGAGACGTGAACTCTACAATCATTTAAAGGTAAGTTACGCTTCACTGATTTTAGCAACACGTTCAATTGTCATTGAATCTTATGCCTCCCGTGGTACACACTTTCCAGCATTAAATTGAAAAATGTTAATGCTCATGCTTTTCACACTTCATTAGGGGTATAAATACCGCGAACATTTAAATGATTATCAGTATTAGTTTTGAAAGCAGAGCTATGCCACGTTTGAATCGACAACAGAGGGACCAAGCCATAGGAAGATTGCATGCTGGGCAAGCTGCCAGGGTGATAGCAGACGACTTCAACTGCAGTATACGCACAATTGAACGTTTACGCCAACGTTTCAATGCAACTAACAGAACAGACGATCGCCCACGTAGCGGTAGACCACAAATTACAACGCAATGACAGAGCAGGTTCATAGTGCGTTAGCATTTGAATGACCGATTCACAAGGGCATCAGAAACAGCACGCAATACCATTGGAACACATCAGCGACCCATAAGTGACGACACAGTACGTCGTCGGTAAGAAGCAAATAACCTCAAATGTCGCCGTCCATACAAAGGTCCCGTCCTTACACAAAGACACCGTCAGGCACGTCTACAGTGGGCTTTACAGCAGCAAAACTGGCGTAATCGACAATGGAGGAATGTCATCTTCTCCGATGAAAGCCGATATTGCAATTCCACACACGATGGTCTAGCAAGAGTTTGGCGAAGAAAGGGTGAGCGTTACAATGACAACAATGTTATGGAAACTGATCCATGGGGCGGGCCGAGCATCATGGTGTTGGGTGGTATTGGCCTGTATTCGAAACTTGGCCCCGTTGTCTTCCAGAATCTTGGTCCAGGCAGGGGAAATGGTGTAACGGCTGCCCGCTACATTGATCAAGTCCTGAGGCCTCATGTTGTACAGCATTTCAACCAACATCCACACAAGACGTTCCAGCAAGATAACGCGCGTGCACAAACAGCCAGAATAACTAGGGACTACCTCCAGCAGAACAACATCGCAGTTATTGACTGGCCGGCTCTTAGTCCCGATCTAAACCCCATTGAACACTTATGGGATCACATCCAGTTGAAGCTGAACCAACAACAACCAAGACCGACAACTGCTGCTGAACTTTCTATGGCGTATCAGCGTGTGTGGGCGACTATTCCAATGGCCTTCATCAATCGACTCATCAACTCTATGTATCGAAGATGCATGGCTGTAATTAATGCCAATGGTGGCCATACACGTTACTAACGGAAGTAAACTCAGGACAATAGGAATCTGTGATATTGACATTATTTGACATTAAATTGAATGTGTATAACTCTAAGACAAATGTTAGATAATTAAAAACACATTACATCAAGTACATATTTGTTATTTTTTATTTCAAAATAACTGCATTACTTTTTCAAAATCGAATGCGACGTTTCTTTTGCGGTTCAGTATATATTAAGAAAAGTTCAACACATGCCGTCATAATCTTACATGTATTTAAAGTATGCCCTTTGTCCATTAAGAAATTTTAAAATCTTTTTAAGAGGCTGATTGTATGAAATGATAGATAAATTTGCAGAATGCTTCACTTTTTTCTTATTTATTTAATTTGAAAATGAACGTATGAAAATGTAAATGTCACATTGGGGAGGATGTTCAGTATTTTTAAATTGGATGTTGGAATTTGTATCTCAAATGGGAGGATGGCTTTTCAAAGATTTAGGTTTTGATTGAGATCAGTGATTTTCTTCAAGAGATTTCAAGAATTTTCAAGAAAATGATGCATTTGCTATTACTATTAACAAATTTTAACTCCTCCTAATATCCAGAACTTACAAATACATGTACATTGTACTTTTGAAAACTGATTCTTGTTAGGTACATTCATATTTGGCCCAAACCAATTGAAGGTAAAATATTTTCAGGAGAATGGTTACATGAAATGACACAATGACAATCTCATATTCATGCAAACCTTTGCAGTTATTTTTGCAGATTCAGATCTGCACATTTATAGGAGTGGATATATGAGTGTTTTTGAATTAATTTCTGGAATTCCTGAGAAGAAATGGCACAAACTAATTCACAAAATATTCATGTATCCACCCCTATATACTGATTTGACATTGGCTTCTTATTTTTTTTTACACAGAAATATAATCTGACTTAATATTGAGACTTCTTTTTTGAATGAACTTCACCTAAAGATTAGTCACACTTTTCATGCATAGAATGTCATTTTTAACATGTTTAAAGAAAATATGGTTGTATTTTATTTTCAATTGACATGTCTCAGAGGAGCATCATGGTCCATATAGGCTTATAGTCAATTATAAATCTGAGTACATTTTACACAATTTATTGCTTGATTATTTTAAAAGTTACAAAGTTTTATGTATACAACAACAGACTGATGTGATATGCTGTAAATTCCTTGTTAAATGCAAGGAATTTATCATTGTAATTTTGCATTGTAGCATCACTTGCAAAATAAAATGTTTCACTTTTATTTTTATGATACTGAAACCCATGCACATTCTCCTTATCAACCGCCCATTCACAAATATATATTCTTGCGATATAATGTTTTTAAGAGTTATTTTTCAATAATAAGTACTCATAAAAAATAAGGAATCTGCAGTATGTACATGTATAATCTTTGAATTGATGTTCGATTTTTTTTCGAATCCAGATCATGCATTTATAAAAGATGACAGAATATCAGCACTGCCTTAAGATTGGAGTTGGGACCTTGTATTTTTTACACAGAAAATAAAGAACAGTTGCTGAATGAAACAGAGGCTAGCAGAAGCAAATGTAATAAGCCCAAAATAATGGTGATCAATTTTGAATGATTTTATTCTCTGGTTGAAATGATACTGATCCAATTTTAGAAGTGGTTGACAATGAATACTAAGTATTTTGTTGTATATAAGTATAATTGCTTATTTCAAAACTGTAAAAAGCTTGCAATGCTTATGTCAAATGTAATGATATTATGTAGGAATCAATTTTTTTAAGGATAAAAGATGTAATTTTTTTTTCAATCAGAATTTCCTAAAAAGACTTTCTAATGTAAATACATGTATGGATAATAGAAGATTATAATCTTTTCTTTTACTGTCATTGAAATACTGTAGTAATGAACTGCAATTTTACACCAAAAATGTTTTAAAATGATTTTTTATGAAATTTCAAATTTCAAGGTTTTATGAAGTTTGAATTGTGGCTCATGTTGCTTTTTATTGAACTATCTCCCTTAACCTTAGATTTGTAGTGCATTCTATGTAATAAATTTAATTTTGGAACATGGGAAAGGTCTTGTTTTTAACCCTGTTGATTTTAATTCAAGCAGAGTAAATGGGTTTAATACATGTACATCTATATTTCACAAATGAAATGGCTATCTTTAAAAAATATATACATGTACATGTATATCTGTACAAATAATTGATCTTCCCAAAGAGTTATTTCCCATGTTCACAATGTAAAAAAAAATCTAAATGATATAATATATATATTATGCATGACTGATTTACAAAAATCAAAGAGATAAATCTGTAAATTTTATTTTATATGCTTTAGAAATGTCCTCATTTTGTCCAGTATCTGCTTTTCTTACAAGTATTAATGATGTTGAAATAAACTGTGCTAATCTTAAGAAGTATTTTTATATCATGATTATATATTGAACCTTGTTCATTGGAGCTGTGGCCAGAAGTGTTTGGCTAATACAGCAAGGGGTTCAAAATATTTCACAGAGTGAGATTAAAATATAGAAATACATCTTTTATGGTAAAACTTATATTTAGAAAACATCTTGTTGGATCTTTTCTCATCCCTCCTTTCCAAATAAAATGAAGTTGGAAAAAAGAGAATAAATTGTGTTTGTTTAGGGTGGAGGGGGTTAATTTCCTGCATGTCTAACCAACTTGACATGTTTAGGGATCCAGGTTCTGAGTTTCTGAGTCATTTAGATTGTGTGTAATTCAGTATTCATTAAAAAAATATTTTTGTATCATTTAATATTAATTTAATATATAATTATAGCACTAGCTCTGAAATCCAAATAACTCCAACCCCCCCCCCCCCCGGATGGATGTATTGGATAATGGAACCCTAAGTATTAAATGTTCCTGAACCATGATGACGAAAATCTTGTTAATATTTGATGTGTATCTTTAACTGTATAAAAGAATTGCTCGTAACTGGTTTGTCAAGATCTGGGTTACAGAAAACAGACTATAGGTGTGAACGTTCTCCTTTACTGCGAACCTAATGACCTTTGACTAGTTCAAGAAAAACCACGTGATGTAAATTTAAATAACAATAACATTAGTAGGGGTGAGTGGATACGAGTTTCATGTGCATTTCTTGTCCTAAAAACCGTTAATGCTGAAACTCCATGCGTATTCATGAGTATAAACAACCTTGGCTGACAATTACAAAAGTTTGAAATATAGAAAAGGATAACAGGTAAATTGACCTAAACCACGTGTCCGTGATAAAATATAAACGTAGTAATCCAGCATGTTTTGTTGTTCTGTCATCCGATTGGACAATGACTATGTGCGAAATAATAACAATAGCCATATAAGGTTTTCTCGAACACGCATATCCCTCTATTGTACTAAGACCCGCCCATTTTCTTGCCATAAAAGAAAATATTCTCACAAACCTGGCCAAATTTAGCTGTGATAGGGTCTAAAAAGTCAAAGATAATGCAATATTCCTTATAATTAAAATGTGTCTGAACTATTGAAACTATTCAAAAGGCGTCGTATTTATTCACTCATGTTTGAAAACTACCAACATCGTTGTAGATTAAATATAATTCGTCGTGGAAAAAGGGGCCCCAGATAGCAGTTATGTCACCTCATCTTTTTGCTATTTGGAGTTCAGTCTTAAAACTCTTAACATTCTGGGACGGATCTAGTGAACATTATTGTGCATTGGTCTATACGAATCACTTTTCAAATTAGAAAACTATACGATCACGGAAAATTGTAAATTGAAACTATTTAATAAACTTTTGAAATCGACGCAAGAGTTGTCATTGGCTTACAAGAAGCACCTTGGATTTTGTCTCCAGCTGTTTTGCTTACATAAAAAAACACCGATTCTACAGAGGATTTCAAACATCTGTCTGTTCGTGAAATTTATACTTCCAAATGGAAATTCGTTCTATGCCTAGCTGAGACATTTTGGCGCCGATGGAGACATTATTCTCTTGAAGGACAGTGAGGCACGGCGCAACCACTGGCCGACTGGACTGGTAGAACGCGCATTTCCTAGTGAAGACGGACTTGTGCGCAAACTTGAAGTTCGCATTGTGAAGGATGGGCAACCCCGGACCTATGTTCGCCCTATTTAAGAAATTGTGTTTCTGTGCCATTTAGAGTGACTTGTAAAAGTGTTAACTTTGTGACAATTGGACTAAGACTCTTTGAATAAGTACTTATATGCAACATGTTTATTTGAGTGATATTTCATATCAGACGGGGAGTGTGTTGCCTATTATAGGCATTTTTTATTATTGTTGAAAACTTACATGGTAAACTGATTCTTGGTATGTCTTAACTAGTATAATTCTGTTACTATTTTTGTTATGAGTTAACTGCATTTTACTCACTTCCTGTTGACCTGTTTGACCAGCCCTGGTGTGGCTGTAATTTTTTGTGTAAATCACCATGCATCCTATATTCTGAGTTCCTAAATCTACTACGTAAGTCTGTTTATATTACTTTTGAGCTATATTTTCGCATTATTTGAACGTATTTTTTTTTAAGGTTTTCCTTGTAGATAAAGTTTTTCTTAAAGGTAAAAAATTCTCTGAAGTATGCACGCCATGGTCACGTAATTTGTAATACCTTCTTTGTGTTTAAATACACTGTACTCTCTCTGTTTAACAACTTTTTGTCCATTATTTGTAAGCTTTTGTTTGTATTTTTTTAGTTTTTTTTTTTTGCCAACACGTTTGCTCACACTCACTCAGGCATACCTGTGCTGTATTTACATGACCCACGCACCAGAAGATAAAAAACTTGTTTTCATCTGACGTTAACTTCATCTGTTTACAAAGCCTACCGTGAGTATATTCGGTTAGCTATCTGCCTGCACCAGACAGAATAAGTAGCGACGGTTTTACGTGATGAATATATTTAAAAGTAGCAATTTCTCTCCTTGGATTACAATTAATTATAATCTGATAACTTTATAACGCTTTTGATTTTGATGGTGTAATTTACAGTATTTCTAACTTTTAATTAGTAAACAAAAAAGTACGCTTTTAACCGTATTTGAACGGGTGCAAGTTATAGTGTGTATTACCTTAAGTTGCATTACTCTAAGTTTATCAACAATAGGAAGATGGTCATAAATTGAGGAATGACTTTTTACACAAATTTCAATCAGTTTTTCAACAACAGGAATATTGCCTTGAAGTGATGCCTAACACAGAGGCCGTTTTGATAACTTTATTTAATTTCTGCGCCATGTTTAAAAAAAATTTTCAGCGACACAGTGACGGAACTTATTGATGTAATTTGCAGAGGTGACAGATGATAATATATACAGTTTTTAATGTCGAAACCATGCAATAAGTTTTTTAAAAACAGAAAGATTACCATTACATGACGCTTGACTATTATTACACTTGCTATCACAATTGTTGATGTCGGCACCATGTTCAATAAGTTTTTCTACAATCTGAAGATGACCTTGACGTTTTGCTTCAAATAGAGGTGGCAGACCGTTCTTTTCACAATTATTGATGTCGACACCATGCTCAATAAGCTTTTCAACAACAGGAAGATGGCCATTAAATGAAGCATGACACAACGCTGACAAACCAATGCTATCACAATTGTTGATGTCGGCACCATATTCAATGAGTTTTTCAACAACAAGGAGATGACCATAAAATGACGCATAATCTAACGGTGACCAACCACTACTTTCACATTTGTTGATGTCGGCGCCATACTTAATAAGTTTTTCAACAACAGAAAGATGACCTCCCATTGATGCACAACAAAGTGGTTGCTTGCCGTTCTTATCACAATTGTTGATATCTGCACCATACTCAATGAGTTTTTCTACAACAGAGAGGTGGCCAAAAAATAAAGCCTGACTTAATGGTGATAAACCCTTTCTATCACAATTATTAAAGTCGGCACCAAACTCGATTAGTTTTTCTACGATAAAAGTGTGACCGCCAAGTGATGCTAAAAGTAGAGGTGACTGTTTTTCTTCATTACACCTGTTGATGTCAGCACCATGCTCGATCAGTTTTTCAACAACTGGAATATGGCCATGAAATGACGCATGACTTAACGGTGATAAACCACTATCATCACAATTGTTAATATCGGCACCATGCTCAATCAGTTTTTCTACAACAGAAATATGGCCTGCAAGTGATGCACAGCACAGAGATGACAGACCGTTCCCATCACAATTGTTGATGTCTACACCATGCTCAATAAGTTTTTCGACAACAGGAAGAAGACCTTCAAAGGATGTACACCAAAAAACTGACCAACCCTTCTTATCACATTTGTTGATGTCTGCTCCATGTTCTATAAGTTTTTCTACAACAGAAAGATGACTTTGAAGACATGCTGGAAACAAAGGTGACCGACCGTCATTATTACATTTGTTAATGTCAGCACCATATTCGATTAGTTTTTCAACAACAGGAAGATCGCCATTGAGTGACGCATGATGTAACGGTGACAAACCATAACAATCAATTTTGTTGATGTCAGCACCATTTTCAATGAGTTTTTCAACAACGGGAAGATGACCATTGAGAGACGCATGACTTAACGGTGATAAACCAATCAAATCACAATTATTGACGTCTGCACCATATTCGATAAGTTTTTCTACAACAGAAAGATGGCCTTCTTGTGATGCAATACATAGAGGTTGCTGACCGTCCTTATCACAGTTATTGATGTCGGCACCAGACTCAAAAAGCTTTTCAACAACAGGAAGATGGCCAAAAAATGACGCATCACTTAATGGTGACAAACCATTAATATCACAATTATTGATGTCTGCACCATATTCAATGAGCTTTTCTACAACAGGAAGATGGCCTCCAAGTGATGCTATATGCAGAGCCGACAGACCTTCCTTTTCACAAATTTTGATGTCGGCACCATGTTCAATAAGCTTTTCAACAACAGGAAGATGGCCATAAAATAACGCATTACTTAATGGTGACCAACCACTACTATTACAATTGTTGATGTCTGCACCATATTCAATAAGTTTTTCAACAACAGAGAGATGACCTGCAAGTGATGCTAAATACAGAGTTGACCGACCGTTATTATTACAGTTGTGTATGTCTGCTCCATGTTCAAAAAGTTTTTCAACAACTGGAAGATGACCTTTATTAGATGCTATATTTAAAGGTGTCATTTGATTTTTGTCGCCTTTATCACATTCAGCACCATTCCGTACTAACGTTTCTACAACTGACAAATGACCATTTTCTGATGCTAAATATAGAGATGACTGACCATGTATATCACACTTGTTGACGTCGGCATTGTTTTGAATGAGTTTTACTATCACAGAAAGATGGCCTTTCGATGACGCTATTAATAAAGGTGACCAACCATAACAATCACTTTTGTTAATGTTTGCACCGCGCTCTAACAGTTTTTCAATGATATCCACGTGACCGAATTGCGACCCAACATACAGAGGAGAGTGTCCTCTTCCATCAGACTTATTACAATCGGCGCCATTTTCAAGTAAATATATTACTGTTTTGAGATCCCCAATTCTAGATGGAGTCCACAAAGCAGGGTAAAAACTTTCTGCGATATTTAAATTTGCTCCATTATTAACCAAATATTTCACAATATCATGATTCATTCTCAAACAAGCAGCAATTACTGGGGTGATTAATCTGTGTGAATTCTTCGATTTGTAGACTTCATCTACAGGCATGATGTTAATTATTTGCTTCCCAAAATGTTCCACCAAAAATTTTACCATTTCTAAATTTCCATTAAAACATGCTAAAACCAGTAATCTTACTTGTTCTTCCTCTGTAGATCCAAAAACAATGTCCTTATGCTGATCATTCCTACCTACCAAGTGAACTAAAAATCTCAGCATATCAAGATGACCATAATAAATAATAAAACTGACAGCACGTATCTTATAAACCTTCTTTTTGTCTATACATTTGAGGTCAAGGAGAAGATTTTGTCTTTCATACTCTCTTTGTCCTACTATTTCTTCAACATTTTTCTCGATTTGTTTCTTTGAGTCGAGAATAACACTTTCGAAACATTCTTCCCTTGGTAATAAGAAATATTTCTTGACATCATTGTACGGCGACAAAATGCTTTTGAACTGCTGCTGAAAGTCCTTATCATCCAATGCTTTATTTAGAAACACATCGTGTAATTTTCCTTTCTTTACGTCCTCGTATAATCTTTTCGCCAGATTTTTGTACTGAGCCTTTTTAATTTTAATGCAGAGGCGGTTTACGGATCTCTATCTTTTCTAAAACAACTCTCTTTGCAAGAAAATTACTGTTCATATGGTCTACAATTTGTTCCGGAAACTGCTGTCCATACTGAAAGGCAACAACTTCAAATATTGAATCATGGATAAAAGTATATTTTTTATCGTTTTCTGTAACATATGTACCTTTTAAGTGTGACAATTGCTGAAATATTTCCCAACTTTGAGGGCGTCCCTTTACTTTGCATGAAGTGCAAACAAGTCTTAGCATTCTGCTGTCTATTAACATTTCATCGGAAAGGTAATTGTTGTTCAACATGCAGAGAACCATGGAAGAATATTGCAGCTTATTGCTTGTTTTAATTTTACCTATTTCTGAAAGCAAGCATGTATATGGATATTTAAAAAAATCTAAACTATATTTCCTGATGCTTTTATCGCTGCTAAACATTTGACAAAGAAGTGGGAACATGGAGTTTCCTTTTTCATTCAGAAATGTTAAATCAAGATCACATGAGATACCTTCTTCCATCATGTGAGATTCAAATATACCTTTTTGATCTTCTAAAGTAAGAGTGTTTTCTTCATTATTCAAGCTGAGGATATTTTCCTTTTGAAAGAAAACTACATCTAATTCTTTTGCCTCATTGCACACTGCCAATCTACATGACATAAATAATTTTGATCTCTTCGATTGCTTGTCCAGAATATTTTCGATTTGTTCACTATGTCTTTCTAAATCTAATAACAAACTTCTCTCTAGGGCAATTACACCTAGAACATCATCTATGACAAATATTTGTTGTCTGTTTAGGTCGCCATAATTGATGATATCTTCAGGTTTGCAGATTGGAACAATCTGATATTCGGACTCCAGCTGTAAAGCGATGTGGCGAATCAAAGCAGTTTTTCCGGACCCAGGCGATCCAATCACAACAACGATTTGATGTGAAATGAAAAAATCTTTCATGTTTTTAAAAGAAGAAATTTCAAAAAACACGTCTTCTCTCCATTTGTGTAACGTTCTTTTATGTTGATCTGAAAGATGAGAAGTTTGTTTGCATGAAATGTCAGAAAATTTAACATCAAACAATGAAATATTTTTTTTTAATTCTGTGGTATAATTCCGGTCTCAAGTATATTAATGTAGAAATAAATTGATTAATTTAGTAATTGATCAAAAGCAAATAAAAGAATACTGCTTTAGACTAATATTTGCGAAGACCGGGGTATATAAAGAAAGACATACATGTACTTTGAAAAGAATGCAATTTTTAAAAAGAATGGAGATTATAAATAGTATACCTCATCTCACACATAAACGAATGCTATCTATTCGACAGACACACTCTCATTAGTGACAACAAACAACTGGTCTGGTTTTCTGCGACCTTATATGCAACATTAATTCAAGTTTGGTCTGAGTATGGTAGATTTGTTCAAAAATCGTACTTTGTTCAAATGCATGAAATATATTAGCACAATGCATTATTGGAAGAATGCCTGGTAGTACACATCACTAGATGTATCATCATCAGTGCATGATAAGTCTGCATTCCAACATAAAAGCAAACTCTTTTTAAAATTAGAATCATCTCATCTGGAAACTAAAGGGTAGTTCCAGCATTTGGAAGTCTGGAAGAATTCATTACTAGCTGAATCATCTACGCAAGTTTAGTTACCATATCAACCTTCTCCAAAAACATTAGCATGGTTTTATTGAGCTTTGTATGACAATGCACCATCTGAATCCCAGGTGGCATAAAGAAACATATACCAGGGACATAATACATATTTATCTGATGAACATAAGAGAGAGAAGTGCTTGGAAAAAAAATTTGCTCCAGAAATCTGATATCAAAAATTTTGTATGGTATTATCAAGGGAACTCTTCTCTATTGAGCAAAATAGCAATTATTACTCATATTGAAGTACAGGTGTCCGCACTTAATTAACATTCAATTTTGTTCAGGTATTAGGAAATTTTTTGAGACTACAATTGGGAACCAGAGTTTTGCAAGTGAGTGCTATTAGAAAGGAATATTTAAGGAACGGAAAGACCCCATTAAATCATATTAATAAGCGGAAATTTTGCACTTTTAATTTTTATGAATCCTTATGTTAAAACTGGGTTAAAGATCAGAGATCCATATCCTACATAATGCACATGAATAGGGACTAATCTTTTCAGGAACAGCAGGGCCACCTTTACAGTTACGTCCAAATGTTGTGTGGATTTACTTGAATAAATCAAAGCGTTCTTAAGCGTAGATATTTTGTCACAATACGGATGCTCTACGTATGAACAATTTCTAAAACGGGGTAACTTATTGACAAGTAAGTTCATGAAACAAGAATATCAACAGTCTTGATTAAAGTAATCATTTCGTAAAATCTATGGTCGAGATCATGACCTTGTCAACAAATACATTTTATCATTGAGACAAATGCTGACTGACGTTTATCATACTATCTAATAGTCCATTATTTAGAACACTGAATTGACGACGTATTTTTTCATTATCTCCCGATCATGACAAGAAGCATACGGCGGGTGTGACCGGTCAGCAGGGGATGCTCACTCCTCCATGGCACCTGATTCCATTTCTGATGTTTCGGAGGTCCGTGTTTGCTCTGCTCCTGTCTTTTTTTTATTGTTTCATGGACTTTTATATTAAGGATATCCGATCCTCAGCCAGGAAGGATTGCTCCATGATTTAATATTTAATTTAAAATGCATCAAAATTAAGCTTGAAAGTTAATTTTTTTCATGCAACAATTTTTATTGTATTTATCTTTTTGATTCAAGGTTTTTGGAAGTCTTAGAAAAGGTCTTATAATAGTTGACATCTGCACCCTATAAAAGGATAAAAAATAATACAGTTTTAGAAAAATAATACTTTCTGGAATCCAGCCTTAGATACCAATGCTTATGGGCATGATATGAAATAAGAAGTGATTTGTGAGGTCTTGCAATAATAGCAAATGCCTTTTACACTATGTATCATAGAATACATGGCGGAAATGGAAGACTGAAAATACGAAATAAGTATAAAAATCATTACAAGTTCTATATACCTGGATACCTATCATTTTTTAGCCTAAAATATATTTGTTGATCAATTTGGAATTAGAAAATCCATTGTTGATAATCCAATTCACTTTTTCTGCAAAAATATTGGAGATACAACACGTTTCCCTATATAATATGATTAATTTTAATCTTTAACTTTAAGGAAATATCGGAGATAAATTTACTTAACTTTGTAGATTCAGAGATATTTTTATGAGTATTTCTGATTACTTAATTGCTAATTTTATAAATCTGAGGATCGGATTACCTTAAATACTGATCGTTACCTCCATATCCTTCAACAAGACCTTTATGAGATCAAAGAGGAAAATATTTTTAAAACAAAAGAAAAAGAATAGTAAGAACATAGTTATGGAGCGTTGTGGGACATGGGACCCTTGAGCAAACTGACATTTATTAGAAATATGTACCTCTGACATTTTCCGGTATGCAAGTTGACTTGTGTTTCTGTAAATCTTCTTTCATATCAATCTGAAATTGCTTTTGTAGGAGGGAAGATGTGTTTAATTCTTCCTCTAATGCTTTTTGGGTTTCTGCGAAATATAAATAGTAAAATAATTTAGGTTTCAAGTAAACAACGCATATTACATTATTACAAATTTCGATTTTCAATTGTAGACCTTACTTAAGACTAAGCAATCTCGCAAAAAATTGCAACTTGTTTTCGGATTTGCTTAGCTAAATAGATCACCTCAATTTCGATGCTTTTGCTGCTTTGCTTTTCGCCTAATGCAAAGCTGCGTGAAAAAAAAAACCAGAGCATCGTGCAACAATATTCTCACAGATAATTCAATTTATGTCGCTATGAGAAATATATTATATTTTACAGCTATGGATTATTCTGCATAACCCTGCGCAGTCTGCAGGATATGCGCCCTTATCGCAGCACAATTATTATAGAACCTTTAATTGCGAAATCGCACCTTATTTTGCTTGGCATATTTATCCAATCAAAATCCTTGATTTTGTTGCGCCATTTTTGTTAGCCTGGCAGTGCATTGAAGAAAAAAAAAAATGTTTCTGCAAATAGGGACCTGTGTACATGTGGTCTAAGATCAATTATTGGTCAACTTCTTAGGGGAGAATCATAGGTGCCTGTAAATTATCAATTTTATGCCGTGGAAACTATCCTCGTATCGGGGAACCTATTTCGGTGGAGGCACAGATAGTGTTTTGGCAGTTGCTGTTCACTTCAACAACCCCCTACGAAGAATTTGAAACACGGGGACCGCTTTTGCCCATGCACTGGAGAAGTTCTAGGAATGCCGTGTTTGTGCATTCCAGTACGAAATTTAAGTCACGTATTTTTAAAAAAAAATCCAGGCGTATTTTAATCCAAAAATCCTTGTAGAAATCTCTATTGAAATGAATATATAAAACCAGGCGTATAATGTAAAATACAGGCGTACACGAGGCGTAATCCACCCGTATTTTTGGCCGAAATATGCAAATGAGTACGCCTGGAAATTCAAAATACGCCTGGAAATTTTAATAATAGAATTACGCCTAGATTTCAAGCATACCCTTAAAAATACGCCTGCAAAATAAATACGCCCGTATAAAAAATACGCCTGTACAAAAAAATACGCCTGTACAAAAAATACGCCTGCTTTAAATAGATTTGAATTAAATATTATATTACAGCTATGGGAGCTACAACTATAGCATGAATATAAATGTACAATCAACTTTAGTACAAAGATTTTTGACTACATATACATAAAAAAAGATTAGACAAATTAAGCTTAGCATACATCACTATTATTTTCTTAATATTTTTCAGTGTGATAAAATGTGAATGAGATTCAAATAAGGAATTGTCATTAAAATTTAATAAAATCATAATCTTAAATTTACTATTTCAAATCACAGTTACATGTTAGAATATATTAACTGTTTCACAGCATTTTAACATCCAAGGCTGAGTTTTATAGTAAACAGATGAAACACTCCAATGATCACAGTGAATCACAGTTTTGAGAATCATGCCGAGTACTCCTGCCATTCCTTTTACTCCTAAATTGGTATAAAAGATGCAAATCACAAGCAATTCTGTCATTCACGTTTCACATCACATTCCCCAATCACATTTTCATAGATTGAAATATTCACAAAAAGAAGTTTGAATGTTTTATAACTGGCATTGCCAATGGTCATCTTCTTCCTGATGCAATCTTCCAATGACTGCAGTTTACTGGCAATTAATTGCATTTATGGAATTCAAAGCTATGCTGCTGGTCAAATCTTAATATTGCAAGATCTTTTCTCCTCCTCTTATGACCATTTCATCATTCAATCAATTTTCCAACTGTGATAAGGAATTAGATGTAAATCATTTTCTGGAAAAAGAATAATTTATGTAATTCAAAATACTACTGACCCAATTTTCAATCATTAACCTCTGGCTCTGCAAATCAAAAGCAAATGAAGCTGTCTTTTATTTTCATCATAGATAAAAAGTTTCAATGTTAGCTTTGTTTTCAAAATATTTACCTCTTCTACACCATCTGTGCTTTGTTGTGGCTGCCTCTAATCTCATTGTTCTTGGCATGACCTGCCTGGTAGTTTAAAATTGGCGCAAATACTTGGATGCAGATGCTGTTGTTAACAACCCCCTAGTTAGCTAAACCCTTTTATGATTACTCAAAGTTCTACTCAGTACAATTTGTAATTTTGAAAAAAAAAAAATGCTGTTTTGTTTACAGAACATAAAAATAAAATTCCATCAATGTATAAACAAGGTGTATTTCACAATATGAATTAAAAAGATACTAGGGTGGGAAATAGAACTGCTGTACACAAACCGGATATAAATTGATAAGCCGTTCTTAGGTTAACAACATCACAGATAAGTCGTTCCTTTAACATGCTCAATA